AAACCGTACTTCGTTGTCCATATTTTTATATCTGTTTCTGACACGTGCTCTGTATAGCAAAACATCGTATCAGGAAACTGGCATCAATATAGCGTCAACGTTTTCTTCCAACCAGTATTTAGCCAGTATGATAGAAGCAAATATATAAGCCCTTGTTTCAATAATGGGATCGCACAATTGATTTAAAAATTTTCAGTTACATAACCTTTCAGTTCGTGTCACAGAGCGGCGAATCTGATCACTGACCCATGAAGCTTGCAGAAAGGAAATTTTCTTCCAGCAAAAGAAAATATAAATAACTCCATTGGCCCCAACATCACCCCGTGACAAAAGAGTTATCGGTGCGTTGAAAACAAAAATGGCGAACTGATTTATGGCGAAGGCTCTGCATTAGTCGCGTGTTTTTGAATTTAATTTAATTTATGAAAGTTATATCGAATTTTATTCCGCGTTTGTAATTTCATATACCAAGGTTTTATTACGTACTAGCTCGTGCCCGCGACTTCGTCTACGTAGGATTAGGATTAGCATTACGTAGTATCGCACATTGAAACTAAATGATGTCTATCATACCATAGATTACATAATTATGTGTAACTAACGTTTATTGCAGCGCACGCCAGAAGAGTTCGCAGGTAGGTTTTTCCTAGTTACTTGACACTTAATGTCATATTTTGGACAGCTCACAATCTTTATAAATTGTAGCCTATGGGTTACTCTGATGTTTAAGCTATATTGTTGGAAAGTATAATTGAAATCCATTTAGTAGTTTTTGCGTGAAAGAGTAACAAACATCCATCACACATACACTACAAACTTTCACGTTTATAATATTAGTAGCCTTTATTAGTACAAAGGTTCAGATAATCGTAGTATTTCTTTGCTTTCTGGTAGTATTTTACTTCTGCTTTTCATTTATTAGATCACACTAGGTGTTGTATGAAAATCCCGATAAATTCAATTAAAATAAATTTTATTTAACATTTCGTCTTTCTTACGTTTTCTGTAAATGGCGATATAGATATTTGATTACTCGTATCCCTATATACCTTTATTTCAACTACTAATTGTTTATTAGTCAACCTCAATACAGCCTCCCTTAATATTGGGGCAAAGCGGTCACAAACAACTGTGGAGGTAGAAGTTCGAGTACCGCCCACGGAATGTTGGAACGCAAAACTTCAATTTGATAAGGTAAGCTACAATTTGCGTTAGATTTTCTAAAAGCGTCATAGACATAAATTCAGTTACGACGAAACCAAAGATTAGGAGGTAGCAAGTGAAGCTAAAACTCGATATTGGGTGAATAATCGTCGCCACTACCGGCGCGGTGGCCAGCCGGATGTGCTAGATTTATACCCGGGCCACGGGCGCACCGGGCCGGGTGTACCCGGTTTATACCCGGACTTATCCGCACTGTCGTCGAGTCCATGCTCTTCATATACCACCCGATGTCCGCTCGCCTTGAAGGGCCGCGATTTATGGCGTGGAAACGTCAACGGTCCCCGTGTTTGGATATAAATCATATGTGTTTGCTTAGTGCATGAGACGTCTAAATTTCTCGGATGTATGCTTGAATTGTCTTCGTATTTATTGCTTGGGGTGGCTGATCGCTGGCTTCGTTGTTTCGAACACCCCGAGTAGTTAAAACCGGTTCCACAATTTCAGCCGTAAACCATACTTAAAACTTCTACATATTATCTACAAATCTGTTCGATTTTAGAATAAAATGTATCAGGAGTAAAATAAACGTATTTTAATATAATTATGTTAAGTAAGTTTTTCGACGGGGGCATTGACATTTTTGACAAAAATTTAAAAAAAAAACGTTGTACCTAAATTTTTTTCTATTTGTGTAAAGCGTCAAGCGAGTGCGTTTATTTGTTGATTCTTTTATTTCTAGGTAAATAATTTTATTTCATTACTTTTATCTATTATTTCTAAAATTATATCTGAATGTAATGAATAGAACTCCTTTGTCTAGATCAATCGTATGCTTGGCTTTTAGCTTAATTATTACGTTTATTTTTATTTAGTAAAAAGTTTATGAAGCCTTTTTACCAAACACTGCTCAACTAAGTACTGTATCATATTTTTGTAAGATTCAAATCCAAGACCTTTTTCGTTAAACGCCATGTAAGACTAATTTACAAATAAGGCCGAAAATAAACACTGTTAAGTGTAAATTATATGTACTCTAATTTAAGTAAAGAAATTTAAAAAAATATATTTTTAAATAAAACACTTTAACGGTTTAAAACGCGATATATTAGTTAAACTTATTTGAAAATGATTTTTAACTTCGGCCCGACGTTTCGGATGCTTTGCAGCAACCGTGGTCACGGGGAGACTACGAAAGACGAAACGTCGGGCCGAAGTTAAAAATCATTTTCAAATAAGTTTAACTAATATATCTAAAATATTTTTGTAGAAATAAAAACTGAAGCTTAAATCTCTAGAACACCTTACAGGTGAATGAAAGGTGAAACTTTAGCTACCGATTCTACGCATTGTGCAAGTCGAAAACAATGACAAAACAATATTAGAACACAAAAGTGACAATTGGCTTAGCTCCTCCGGGACGTTATAATTTACGGCAGCCATTGTCAACTTGCCTATACAATGCATCAAAAGTGAGAAGCCAGGTATGTTTATGTGAAGCGAAATTTGCATGAAGTTTTTCAGCTTTCACTTTTATTGTTAGAGATTAGTATAATAGAGCGATTTAAAAGCGACTACGGTACCTGCCGTGTTCACTGCATTGAATTTCTAAGTCAATGTTTTGAAGCTCTGTGAAAGGGCGTTTGCGCAACTGCATTCGCAAAAGTATTCTTTCGGTTAATCATAATATACAACGTACAAGTTTATTAAATTAAGTGAGGTAGGTTGGTATCTACTCTAATTTTATAAAACTTATACAAAGTTTATAATACTTAAAATATTTAAATAAAACACTTTTCACAAATGAATTGAGTGTTTAATTTACATTACAGAACATTTTTCATTTTAAATCGGTATGTGTTTTATTTAACTGTGTAGTACATCTACTCGCGTAAACTACAGGCAATATATATATTGAATATTTATTATTAATGAACAAGTAGGTATGGCTCAGTAAAATTTCCTCAACCTTTTTTCATTTTATCATGAAATTGGTAGCGTTGTGGGAACAGTTTTATCATATTATTCTTTTAGGTTTACTGTGATCCACGGAACGAATAAAAATTGAACTGGATTTTATCTTAAAATTCGTTGTTTCTAGATTAAATCAGTCCTTATTAAAAATATCGCCCTCTTTAGATCAATTAGTACCCTGATCTACAATTCAAAGTCAAAAATGTATAACGCCATCTCGCAGCCAACGTCCAAAACATTACCAAATCCGAAAGCGCCCTCCATACCAATTTAGCGAATCATTTCAACCCCTGTGACGTACCCAGACTTCAACCCTTACAACGATTCTCTAGTACCGCCATCTCGTAGAAGGCGCTGGAACTACCAAAATTGATTTAGTTCACGAAGCTTCCGCCGCGGCAGCACCGTGCAGAAAGTTTGAATGAAATTGCGCACGAAATGAAATATTAATTTTATGTCCGGCAAATAAAGTTGTTTTTTGACTGCCGAGATTTTCAGTCGGCCGGAGTATGCAAATCAACGCGCCATTACATGGTAATTTATTTGAATCGAATGACTACTTTGCGGTATAGTGCATCGAGCACTGAACGTTTATATGGGGACCCTGACCTTATATTCCAATTTATAGCTTAAAAGCCGTTAAACGCTCTTTTACGTAACAGCTGTTGAGTCGCGTGAAGCCTTAGCGTATTAACCTTGTTTACAAAGGGCTTTCACCTGCTCCTTTGTTTTGTTTACTCGATTTTCACGAGCTTAACGTGAATTATAGAACATCCTATACATGTAAATTACTCATTTGTTTGCTCTCAAGACTTTTAGAGCTTAATATTTTTCATAGATGTGGACAATATATAATTTACCAAGAAGTTTTACTGAAAATGAATAACCAATTTTTTTTTTTAATTTTTTGTTATTTTAATTCTTTGTACAATTACAATTTGTATAACTGTTTACGCTTATCTGACCGCTAGAAAGATAGGTTAGGTACCTGGGTATAGACATACTTATCTCAAGAATGATAAGATATATTTAAAAAGTAGCTATCTACTGGATAACGTCACAAAATTAAATGAAATATTTAAATATACATATGAAATGTATGTACAGTTGTTGTATTTTTCGGCAATCATCTTTCGCTCTCGGACAAGGTTATTACTCTTAGGACCGCCTTAAGAAGGTAATTAAGATAAAAATCAGACCAACCACTCAGTCAATTACGTATTAATTAATCAAGTTTCTTGACCTGTTTCCTTAATACGCCTTGCTACCGTAATTGATTGATTGTGCCTGCCTTAAACTGGAAATATTTAAAACCACTTCAAAAATACTGTTTTATTTTATTGTGTGTCGTAAAGAATGCGTTTATAATTCATTATTTTTTGGTTGTGGACTTGAAATAGGTACATTTTTGTTATTTAAACTAGTTTTGACACTTTGGTATTAAGCTAAATGTAGTTTGAGTAAGTACCTATAGTCTTTTCCCCGTGCCCAGCTACTGCAAAGCAACCAAAATGTAGAGTCATATGAAAACTTTAATATTTTTCACATGAAGGCATTATATATAATTTAAAAATCGAAAATAAATTGAAAGAAGATTTTTTTTGTAAAAAAAATTTTCGACCCGGGCAGGACTTGAACCGGCATCGTCAGTTCCGCTGTTGCTCTACCAATTGAGCTACCGAGTTCTACACGTCATTGTCGAATTTTTCTAAAATAATTATAATATAAATTATTTAGTAGTTCAATAGTAGAATTCAGATCTCATTAAAACGCCTAAAACTGACTCTGGGTTCAATTCGCGCAACAAAACCGCGAATGTACCACTCGAATATTACAATAATGGTATCGATTATAATTTGCGTGCGATGGGCTCGCAGATAGCGAGGCAGGCGACACATAAGCGACAGCTCTGCCCAATCGACGACGCGATCGCGGTCCGCATTCACCGGACAATGCTATCGGGTGTACCATCGGAGACATGCACTCTCGCGCCATTACGATTGGTCGGACTGCGCGGTGATTAGCTTTTACCGAGGGTAGATTGGCAAATCGACGTTCTAAGTTTAAACTTGAAGCAACACTGGCATATGATAAAGTCTTAGTCAAAATGAATACTAGATAAAATAATAAGAATACGCTTTACATCCATGCCTTACGTGTGTGTGTGTATTATTTCAACAAAAAAAAGCTGATTGCTGCAGGTATAAATTGGTTAAAAGAATTCGACGATTACGTTTAGGACGCAATAGCTCAATTGGTTAGAGAGACAGCACGCAACGCTGTGAATGACGGTTCAAGTCCGTCGTAGTTATTTTTTTCAATCTAAAAGCGACTTTCAGTTTCAAAAATTATCAAATTTTTACAGTATCTTTCGTTTCTTTGTTGTAGAATGGACTCAACTTTACAGTTTACATTTCTACGAGTTACTAGTATTTGTTTATAGATCTTTAAAGGAACGTTAAGAAGATATTATGATTTTAAATCTGCTGTAGGAATTTTCAAAACAAAGGAAAATCATTTTATTATTTATAAACACTCGTGATTTTAGTTACAAAAAGTCTACATCGGCATATTAAAATTAATTATAAAATACCTACTTATGAAAATAACATCCTGTAAAATTATAGTTTCCTTCCGTGAATTCTGCTTAAAACATTAACAGCATACTGAATATAAGCCATTGTATGCAATATATAGATAATTTTTCTTACTCATCACAGCATACCCACACACGAGGACCACCTACAAGCAGCATATAAAATTCAATTTACAACTGGCACGTACGTGTTTCGCAAATAGATTCGCGATGAGAGTTTGGCACCTACACTACAATAAACTGACTTCGTGTAACTGGAGTAATCTCATACTGGAATTCCGTGTATGGAAGAGGCCAAATGCATATAGTTTTTCGTCGGACTGTCGGGGACAGAAGTGCTTTTGTAATTTATAAGAACATGGTATTTATTTGTTCAATTTACAAGTAGTCAAAACCTAGTAGACATATTGACATAAACGAGAGAAAAAATTACAATATAAATACTGTCAAGTTACGCGAGTTAAAACATTAACAATTCGTTCCACTAACTAACTAGTTCTACTAACTAATATATAGCGTTTTAAACCGTTCAAAGTGTTTTATTTAAATTGCAATATAGTTTATTAAATTTATAATGAAATAAAATACCTTAACGGGTTCATTCTGTTGAGGACGGAAATAATATATTGTGATATGTACTATGTACATTGTCAAAGGAGTAGTTGAATAGATTGAAGTGTAAAATCCTGCTTCGTGCACATTTTTGTCTCTGTGTCCACCAATTGTTTTTTATTTACAGGTATTACTTAATTAATTCTGTGCTCTAACCGATCGAAACTCAATGGTTCATTTCGTTCTTCGGGATTCGAACCCAGTCTAGCGCGTAACGAAATGTGGGCCACTTCTTATTGATTATTTCTTAATCCCCAATAATTAACCTGGAATATTCAGTAAACATTTTAATAATATCGTATGAATTGAAACCAATAAACGGAGCCGCTACGTCAATAAAAGTCGTATTACAACTATACACACGTCGCTCCGCGGCAGGTGCCCTGTCCACAGCTGATTTTGAATAGGAATTAGATATCGCTTAATACAAACAGCGAGTCCTTGTAATTTTAGTCATAGATAAACATACATAAAATGCTAATTTCGTGGAACCAAGATATTTTACAAGCGCAGAGGGAAAGAACTACTGTAAGCTTAATTATGTTAAAATAAATGATATTTCGAGATCGGGAGGTGTCAGGAAAGTTGCTGGTGGACAGAGAAGACGCAAGAAGAAAGAAATAGCAATATAAACGTGTAATAATTTTACCAAGCCAGACATTTTTGCTGTATGTGATATTAGGATCTTCACTGTGGATAGGGCAAGCGCCTCTGTGAAATTTAATCAAGTTTTGTGAAAATTAGAATTTAAAAACGAATGAAATTTGGACTTGAACCGCCTTCATCAGCGTTCCGTGCTGTTGCTCTATTATAATTCTAATATAGAGATTTACTAAATTTTGTGCTTCAGAGTCTAAGCTAATCAATAAAGCATTTCAATATCTGACGTACGGAACTTCATAAACGTACCGTTTATCATGAAACCCGTTGAGACCCAATTATTAGTAAATAAGTACTCGTTGAATATTGGAGATTAACGTCTAATCAATGAAGGAGTTGGATTGCAGGCGATGACTGTACACTTGTGCGAAATGTCAATCCAATTGAATCCAACAAATCGTGTCTCAGACGACGGGACAGACGGCGTCAATCTAACGCCGCGCTCAGGTGTTTAATGATGCAATAATTTGCATAGCGGACCTCGAAGGGAAAACACGAGCTATTCTCATGTCCGACGCTCGCCTTATTTAGAGGGTACTCTTGTTACGCACATCCCATTTGAAATTCGAATCGATAAAAAGCGAAACGGTTATTGCTCAAATTTCCGCTTCAGAGATCTATGTCTTCCTAGCCGGGACTGCTATGAAATCGTAACTGGTAGTTGTGGTAAACAAAAATATGTATGTAATGGAATTAGAAATACTAAGTAGAAACAGTCAAGTGCCTTTTAGAGTCTTCGTGAGGATTGTGACCAGGGGCAATATAAAAGAGGCATTTCTATATGTATCCGAAACGCCGGTTCGAAGTTAAATATATCGCGTTTTAAACCGTTAAAGTGTTTTATATAAATGTGTAGGTACTACCCGCGAAAACTATAGACAGTATTTCATTTCTTATATAATTAAATTTATTAAAGCAATGGCAATATCATCCTTTTTTTTAGGAACCAGGAATGTATAAATGCAAAACTGAATGTATATTTGTTGTATACTGTTTTAAGATGTAATCGTAAAAATAATACTTATCTAAGATTTTGTATCAGGTCATTTAGTTTACCAGTGTCAATCACACTGAACATAAGTATGTAATTAGGCTCATTAAAAGAAAACCCGCTTATAAAAGCGATATTAAAGATTCATTGTACTCATGAAATATTAAAAGACAATGAAGTGCAACCATCACCATTATAGCTGCACGATTTAATAATAAATTAAATGAAAACATTACCATCAAAAACACCTTTGTAACTGCTGCTGAATCAGGAAAATAAGTACCTATAAAAAAGAAAAGGTAAATTAAGTATCAACAAACGTACTATAGAGCATAATCTATTGAAGGAGGTGGAATAAAAAAGAGGCTACACGTCATAACAGAAGCCGTAAGACGTGATAACTTAACTTCTTACTTGTATCATACAATTTTAAAATTGGTAGCCAAACGGAGGGCTGTAATATGTTACGTAACGTAGCCCTTTCTCCTGCAATAAATTACTGAAAAAAAACCCTCAACTTGCATAAGTTTTGAAAATGGAACACTTGAGTCTTATACGAGTTAAAATAAAAAATTACCTTCCAGGAAGGTGAAGATTTTTTTAATGGTAAGCAAGCGGACTGGTGTAACGCGTCACCTAACGTAGCCGTTACTCTTTAATTAGTTACTAAAAAAATCCGCTGCCTGTATTAGTTTGTGAAAATGAAAGACTTGTGTCTCGTGCGAAATAAAATAAAAATTTTCTTTTCCAGCCATGCACAATGGAAAAAAAGTAAAAAAAATAATTCTATTTTTTAGAGAAAAAAGCGCTACTATAAATGAATTAATTAACGGACAAGTTGTATGGAATCAATTACGGCCCACGAAAGCCCGCACGGGCCGATGCTAAACCCCGGCGAACAATCTGACATTTATGAGTGCCATAAAAACGCTCAAGTAGTGACTTTTACTACTTGTTTAGTGAACATAAATGTCTTTGCCTTGCCCGCGCTGAGCGTCGCCCGTATTTAAAGCGCACAGTTTCGTGCAGTTTTGCTCTTTTTATTTACTGTTACGGTGCTCCTATGCAACTGTATAATGCTTTGGTTACTTTTCAGTTGCGATTTATTACTCTCTTTTGTCTTTATTTACCGGTATTACTGCTGTCGTATTCCTTTTTTAATAGAACATCTTAATATTCATTACTAACTGGACTATATTTTAATTCAACGGCTCCAAGAACGACAGAGATCTAATGAAGCTACTTTTAACGGTTTAAAATGCCGGTAACTTAATATTTTTCAACAGTTGACTCCAGTCTTTTAAAATCATTTACCTATTTATTTACAGTAATATTAATACGTAGGTAGGTACTATTCACGTCACTTTCTTAAAAGTACAATGAAGTATTTACATAGACAGTTTTTTTTTTTATATTAGGTTGTTCTATAAGGTCCCAATTGACCCCAAGGCGATGTAATATTTAACAAATATTTTGTAACTAACTTAATAATTAACTTTTATATTGTATCAATACCTCTTAAAGGATTTAAATTTTATAAATAACGAGGTAGTAAATCACTTTAAAAATTACTTAAACACTCACGCATTTGACGCAAATACAAGGAATCTATTAAGGCTTTAAGGCTATGTCGTCCATCAATACTATAAATTGAAGGAATTAACATAATTTAAGGTTATGAATTAAACATGGCTTTTGAAACAATAACGCGAAAATTCTCCTTAAAGCAAATTCGTAAAACACTTTTTAGTTTTCACATTTTTTACTTTGTACATAAAAAACAAAATCTTATTTCTTCTGTGTAAGGTATAACTAATAAGTACAGAATTGTGTGTCTGTTGATTTTTACATATCAAATAGGCCTTCTATTAGGCGAATCAAAAATAACATCATCTTTCAATATGAACTTTCGCGTTTTCTACTTAGCTGTGACGCATTCTACATTTGAATATATAATCTTTAAATACTGTCTGTAGTTTACGCAAAAAACACTTTAACGGTTTAAAACGCGATATGTATTGGTTAAACGTGTTACTAACTACGCGAGATGTGGCGCTATCGTAGCAGTTTTACTTTGACACCAGAGATACCCTCATCTTTAGTCTCTTCGTCACCATGGCTGTTGCAAGGTTAAACTAATATATATCACGATTTAAATCGTTTAAGTATTTCATCTTTAACCTCTATTATAATGATACCTACAGACTACCTCAATAATTTATAACTGAAGTTTTTATATTCAGCCTTCGTAAGCACCAAGGTGTCCTAGCTTGGCCACCCATGCAATGTGACAAAAACGTAGTGCGAACTCGCGCTGACGAATAGCCATGAAAAAATATACTAACGCTTAATTGCTTTTTGACCTATAGCGGTTGCTACGACGTAGTGTACAGTCGGATGTTGGTGATGTTTACCGACTTCCGTGTAAAGTTATTATAAGTATACTTATATGTGCGGAATTTCGTGTCCTCTATGTGGGTTATCTCTGCATGGGTTAGATACATTTTGTGCCGTTTCACTTATTTAATTTTTTACATTTAAGTAGGTAATCCGACTGTGCCCAGCCCAACCGAAACAGTTTATTATGTGACCTAAGACTTAATAAGACTGTATGTTTCACGATTAAGCGGAATGGAATATAAACTTTCTTGTTTCACTGCACCTAAATGCCAGATATAGCAAATAATATACCATTAGGTATTTAAAAAATGTGTTAGTTAAGGTGTATATATATACATGCCTACAGTTGTAGTGTTAAGAAAAAAGGAGCCTAAAAATATATCACATTATGTAAAACGTTTTCTAAAACGATTTCGGGTAAACATTTATGCGCAAGACTGTACCTACAGTTGCGACGCGAGATGCCTGAAAACTTAAGGACCGGATAATTTAATACTTCTTAATATTTAGTTTGTCGTTTTTATGCCTCATTAGTAATTTCCCATAAGAACGCTAATATCAAATCATTATTAACTCTTTTTTTTACATGAACTTAAATACTGTCTATAGTTTACGCGAGTAGTACACATTTAAATAAAACACTTTAACGGTTTAAAACGCGATATATAATATATAGAATATCGATATATAGAAGTTAAAAATCATTTCCAAATAAGTTTAACTAATATATCGCGTTTTAAGCCGTTAAAGTGTTTTATTTATACATCAACTTAGTTTTTGTCTTTGTTTCCTTTTATAAGGTATCGAATCGTTTTTCGAGTACTTATCTTAGCATATCTCTTCAATCTTAAAGACACACTAATCTTGTTTTATTAGTACTCTGTGACAAGCTAATAAAAATTTAATGGATAAGAATGCCTAAATATAACACCAACAAGGCTTGAAAACTAAAGATTGATAGGTATGTTTAACCTATATGATATCATACTGTATCAATCCGCAAATAGCAGCAAAATGGATACAGTACCTTAAGTAGGTATAATATAATTGTTTTTCGAATTATTTGGGCGACGTAAGCGAAAAGAGGTTCTCGACGATTCGCCATCACGAGCGGACGGAGTCATCAGGTGTTCTCCTCTTGTCGCATAAGCCGGCCAAACAGCCCGAAAAAGGCCGTGAAATCCTTACACAATTTATTAAGTCGTTTTAAATAACGGTAAGTCGAATATAGGAATAAAACACAGACATATTTACAGGTCATAACACCGATTCCTTTTTGCTGATGGCATAATGCATGAATATTTATCAGAGAGGTCACCTTAATCCTAAACAGACCACTACTTACTATGCTCAGCAAGACTCAATTTATTTCCCGTACTAAAAGAAAGTCCTTCTGCATACCATACCTAATATATTCGTCCGCCAAACCGCGCGTTGTTTTCGCTACAAATTAGACAATTAAGAGTCGAAGTGTGGCTTTAGATCTATTCAATTAAAGCTGAGTACGCGCTGCGAACCTACCGCGGCGATTTTTAATAATATGTATGCAACGTGCGAAATGCCGCGCCGTTTCGCATATCAATGCGCCTGAGCATATTGATGAAAAAAACGCGCGTGTCGATCACGAATTACCGAGGTGTCAGAGACAATTGTAGAGTAATTGCCGCGCTGGTCATCAATTAAGCGGGAGATTAGAATCTGTATGTTTTATTATTCTGTGTTATCAAAGTTTCAATAGTGATAAATATTCAGTATTGTTTGTAGCTTCGGCGAGTACACATTTAAATAAAATCATTTTACTGTTGAGGTTTGGAGATAACTGTCGCAAATTAAACAAAAATTGGTTTATTTGGATAAACATTCATCTAAAACATTAGTACTACGAGAGAAGGTTATTACGAAATATTGTTAATCGATCAATTCGTTCAAGAGGCCACTTGATTTTCTATTTATTTATTTAACATCTAAATATATGTCGTTGACAACTAAAAAAAAGATAAATCTAATATGAAAAAGTGACTCCAATTAGACAATAATTTATATATAAGAATTGAAATCCTAGCTTTCCTATTTTT